GGGGGGATGTTAGACAATAATAATAGTATTACTTGTGGTAGTATTGGTTGTGGTAGTGTTTCATTATTAGTCAGCTTCCTAATCCTATTTGTGGTAGATGTTGTATGTTAGTTAGTTTCTATTCTATATTCCTAGTTGTGTTAGGAGTCTCTCCTATATATACTCTATCATGTACTTCATAATTCAAAAGAGCAATATTATTATTCCAATATTTCAACATATACCATGTACATAGTAGGGTTATACTATAAATAGGAGATAAATCATGCATCCATTGTAACCCAATATGAAATAAGCTAATACAACTATACAAGTATACAAGAGCCATATATTCAATCCATCCATATAATTCTTATTTACATACAAGTTCTTCTGTCACTATAGTTGTTGGGCTAAATCTAATCAATTACATTTTTACCAATTGAGTAGGTTGCTAAAGATAACAACTTTATTTACTATTTTGCCAAACTTGGCATTTTTTACCAAGCGGATTGGAGCTCAAAAAATTGAGTAGGAATTGTAATAAATGAATAGTAATTGGTACTCCGTATACTTAGGTAATAGTAAAATATTTCAATTAAAAAAACTTATGAGTATACTTTTTTAAAAAAATTCATGTACCTAATAAGGCTCGTGGTAAACATTTTGTTTAGTTTAATTTTTTTAGTCAAACTTGATGGATATTACATCGGTATGTGAAAGGCTCGTGATTTTTAAAATATTGTTTTGTACTTGAAAGGCTCGTGATTTTTAAATCCCAAATACCGATGTAATGTTTTAAATCCCTTTAGGTGTCATATGGCCAACCAGTTAGTGGCATTTCTAGCCCATCGTAAATTTTATCATGGTATCAGAGCCATATTAAGCCTATCTCATCTTTCAATGTATCTGTCTAAACGTTCAATTCTAGTGGCATTAGTCTTTAGCACATTTATCTGTATGGAATGTATACCCAACGGTTTGTGGCCTGTTTAACCCGATCACACGTCTGCAAGTCCATATCCAGTGGCCCGTAGTCTTTTATGACACAATCCAGTAGTCCATACCCAATCACAAATTCTATGAGAAAATATGAATATATGATTCATGTCATTCTTATTTTTAACAATAGTGTGAATACCATAAATAAAATAGGAGGGAGAGAGAGTATATATTATTGGTGATTGGAGGTGGGGGAGAAAAGGACGTTTGCATGGAGCTATTGGCTTTCCCTCATTCACTTGTTGTTTTCATACTTAATGTTGAAGATTTGAAGCTGTTCTATATACAACTTGTGGGTGTTGTGTATAGTGTAAAAAAGTTAAGAACTACATAACTTTTGCTTTAGCTCCTCGATCCTTTCTCTTCAAACTTCATTTTAAATTTTAGAGTCTCTTAACTTTCACTACATTTTTTTTAAAAAAAATCTACTTTTCTTCACTTTTTTTAATCTATTCTCATTTTTAAAATCTATTTCTACTCCTCAAATAATGACTCTAAAACTGATGTGTTTTTCATTTACCCCTCTATCGCAGTTTTGATTATAAATAGATCGAGAGTTGCGAGACAACACTCTGCGTCTTTTGAAATCATTTTATTTATAAATTTATTTATCAATAAAAAATAAAAATTACTCCCTCCGTTCCTAAATAAACTTTCCTTATTGACTTTTTGGGAAATTAAGAGAGGGATATTTTGGTGTTGACTTTCCAAAAATACCTTGATGTGATGGATAAAAGTAGGATGTGATGGATAGATTATTAGTAAAAATGTATGATGTGATAGGTAAAGTATGAAAAAGTAAGGGGTAAAATGTTTTTTTAAGGGAAAAGAGATGTTTTTTAGGGACAAAGAAAAAACGAAAGGGGAAGTTTATTTGGGGACGGAGGGAGTACATATTAAAAAATAACGCTAGAAAATCTACAAGATAAGAGGTGACAAGATTATTTTATTTTATCAAATAATCAATGAAAATGCATAAATAAACAAAGTTCTGAAGATGTGAGAGAAAATTTTTTACTCCCTCCGTTCCACAAAACCCTTCCGGTTTTGACTTTGGGGAAAAATAAGGAAAGTGTAATTTTGGTTGACTTTCCAATTTTTCCCTGATGTGATGGGAAAAAGTAAGATGTGATAGTTTGGTTATTAGTGAAAAAGTATGATGTGATAGGTAGGGTATGAAAAAGTATGATGTGATAGATAGGGTATGAAAAAGTATGAGTAAAAGTGGTTTTTTAATAGAAAGAGGAAGTGTTTTGTGGAAAACAAAAAAACGAAAGAGGAAGAGTTTTGTGGAACGGAGGGAGTATTAATTTTGGGATGGAATGAGTATTATTATTATTGTTATTGTTATTATTATTATTATCATTATTATTATGTTCATAACGGCCAAATATTGTTGATACCCTTCGTGGTTTGCAAAATAAGCACCAATACCCCCTATGTTCATAACTATAATACCTTTTGTAAAGATCGAGAAATGAAACGAGTTCAAAAGGATTAATAGTACTAATCATCCCAACAATGCATCTTCTTTTTGAATGTTCATCACCTAAAACTCCTAAGTCAAGCGTGCTAGACTTGTAGCAATTTTAGGATGGATAACCCCTTAGAAAGTTTCTTGGGCACGCACGAGTGAAAATAAAGTGCACTGGAAAGACTTGTGTTGATTTATGGGGTCAATCTACAATCCTATGAGCAAACACTTACGACCAGGGTGGGGGCCGGAGTGTTACAATAACTATAGTTTATAAACTATTTCAATTTTATCACATTGTGTCATTTGTATCTAGGCTAATAAAGTATCTCTCTTAAAACACATAGCTGTTTTCTTTTGATCGCATGCCACCACTAGTCTTCATCAACGTCGGTCGATACCACAGATCCTGGCCTCACCACCCTTTATCCCTCTCTTTATCTTCAGAAAATTTATGAGCGTGCCTAACACCCTTATCCCTAATTACTTCACCTTCCATCAATATATATAAAGAAAACAAGAGGAATCCTAATTAAACTATACTACCTCCGTCCCACAGTCTTTGTCCATTTTTTACTTTTGGAACTGTTCATCTAAGCACTTTGACTCATCAAATTCTCTCAATGTGTAAGACTAAATATAGTCATGTATGATCTTGTTTGATTTGTCTTAACATATAGATTATTAATATATAATTTCTATAATTTTTTAATATACAAATTACAAGATAAAATAGATTAAAGAAGTGCATTGGATGGTGTGTCAAAAGGTAATTGGACGAAGACAATGGGACGGAAGTAGTAATAAGTAATTATGGTACCATTCGACTTGAATCTTTATTGGCTCTTCATCTTGATTGGCCTTATGAGCACATGAATGTGTGTAATGCCTTTTTACATGGGATCGATCATGGATTTATGGATGAACAAATCTTTATGGAATAATTGCAGGGTTACATAAATCCATTGCGTCTGCATTATGTCTGAAAATTAAGGAAGTCCTTGTAGTATGACCTTAAGCGGACTCAACATGCATGATCATCATCCTGGTCAATGTTGATGATGTTATCATTACTGACAGTTCTCCATCTTTGATCTATGAGATTACATAGGATATACATTGGGACTTAAGGTTAAAGGATTTAAGCCATTTAGACTTATTCCATGGTATTTGATACAATTTGATAATAATTTGTCTTATTGAATATTGAGAGATATGGCCCTATATATAGGGAATACAAGAGTAATCAAAGTACAAGTAGGAAAGGAAAGAATAATCCTAGTAGGAAAGGAAAGAAGTATCCTAATTTAATTATACTTCCTAATATCCCCCCGCAAGCTGATCAACGGAGACGAGGGGCAGCTTGAAACATAAGTACTCAAAAGGAACTGGCGGAAGCGGTTTGGTAAGAATGTCTGCTAGCTGCTCTGAGGAGGAAACATGATGTGGAGTCATAGTGCCTGCCATAACCTCATCTCGTACAAAGTGACAGTCTGTGCCCACATGCTTCATGCGATCATGAAGAACCGGATTTTTGGTGACACAGATAGTCGACTCATTGTCACAGTATAACTTCGGTTTGGACGGAGGAATACCCAGTGCATCAGTGATATATCGAAGCCACATAGCTTCTGCAACCCCTGCAGCCATAGCTCGATATTCAGCTTCAGTGGATGATCTAGAAACACGAGTCTGCTTTTTCGTGCACCAAGAGATGATATTAGGACCGAGTAGGAGTATGTAGCCCGTGGTAGACTTGCGATCATCTTTATCATTGGCCCAGTCAGAGTCAGAGTAGACAGATAGGTCGAATCCCCCCTTGCGAAAAAGAAGACCATGATTCAAAGTGCCTTTGAGATAGCGCAGAACGCGTTGCAAGGCATGATAGTCCTGCTCAGTGGGGTTGTGCATAGTCTGAGACACTCGATTAACAGCATACTGAATGTCTGGACGAGTGACAGCCAAGTAATGTAAACCGCCAACAATGCTCCGAAAATGAGAAATATCCTTGAAAGGCAACGAAGGCTTAGTGATAGGTCTCGTAGCCATAGGAGTAATAGCCGGATGACAGTCGGACATCCCAGCTCGGCGTA